TGATGACATCAGAATGAAGTCCAGCCCTGGGAGTACCTAGTCCAGCTAAAATGGTAGCAATGGCGGTAACAGGGTTTTGTTTTATTTTGTTTCTAACAGAGATCAAACCCAAGACCCTGTGCATGCTAAGCACGCACTTGGTTATGGAGCTGTGCTAGCAGGCCCAAAAATGGTTTTTAAAAGATAGATTAGAACCATATTAAATCCACCCTATCTATAGTTAATGCTTCTGTTTACCACATTTGAGAGAGCCAGATTAATCCCTCTCTGTGGACTCGGGCTAAAAGCAGAATGTGAGATGAGGAAAGACTTTGAAATATGTTTGTGCACTGGTGCGTCGTCTCTGTGGGCAAAGGCATCTTCTCCACAAGTCCGACAGCCTGAGTTCAATCTCTGGAGCCCACAGGGTAAAGAGAAGGGACTCCGGAAGTCATCCTTTGTCCTCGCCACGTGTACCATGGCACATGTACACGGTGCTGCCTCCTCGACAATCATTTTTAGTTGAAATGAAAGAAAAATTGAAAACAACTATTGGCTGCCTCTGTAAAGCGTTGACGCTCAGATGTGGTCCCCGCCTTGCAGGATGTGTGGCTCCTCAATGACAGGGCTGTCCTTGACACAGCTTTGGTTCCAGTAGCCGTGTTTGAGATGGTCAGCTGTGCTGTGAGTATATTTAGCTTATGCTAAATGCCCCTGGGAAGATGAGCATCATCTGTTTTCAGTTTAATTGTGTTTGGGGCATGGTACATTTTTTTCCAGATGAATAAATATTAAACATTTCCCACTTCCTGAGGAAAAGTAGGGTTGAATTTGAAGCACGAGTTATCAAACATAAATACTTTAACTCCCATGAAAAAGAAATGTAAAGAATGATGGACTGTTTACAAGGACTTTTAAAAATGCATTGCTCTATAAAAATGCCAGGTTTGGATGAAAAATTGTATACAACACCTGAGGGGCCATTGACGCATCCCATTCCCACTAGCGCGGAGGGACGGCAGGGCTGACCAGGGCTTGGCCATAGTGCCTCAGGAATACCGCAGCTCCACAGCGCTGCCACAACACCCGAAACTGCTCCACGTCATGCTTGATCCAGATGTTTAAAGCCCCTAAAGCTTCCTCAGCACACCAACTTGGAAATTTGCATATTCAAATAGAAAGTATCTTAAGCCTTATCACTATCATAAAGGAGTTTGCTCTGGGCTGATGGAAAAGTCAATTTAACCAGCAACATTCATCTGCTTCTTCATAAACCATAAAGCTTCCCAACAGAGATCTTAAAGAAAAAGTTGAAGCCAACTGTAAATAGATTTAGGAGGATGACGGCATATTCCTCTTTGTGTGTGCACAGTATGTGGCCGTTCTGATCAACCCCCTGCTAACAGATGCTCAGGACCTCAGGCCCCCTGGAGCTTCCATCATCCTCCATCCCTTGCCTTCCCAGTCGTAACATAAATTAGGAAGGTGCGTAACAGAACACTCGGGATATGAATCGTCTCCCCTGGTCCCAGGCACATGTGTTTGAGAACTTGGTGCCTGCTGCTGGCTCCACTTTGGGAGGTCATGGGACTGTGGTCCAGCCAGCTTGGGTGGCTGTGGGTGGGCCTTGAAGTGGTGACTTTTCTACCTGATCAGTCAAGGTGTACAGAACTGCACCTCACACTAGCACATTGACGGATAGAGCCACCCCAGCCTCCCCGCCTTCCCCGCCTTCCCTGCCAGCAGACTGTATTCTCTGAAGCTAGGAGTCAAAATGAACCCTTTCTTCATAAAGTTGCTCCTGTCGGGTGTTGGGTCATTGATGGTGAGCAAAGTAATGAACACAATCGTAGCTCTTTCTCCTTATGTTGCTGTAAAGAATAAAAATGTGTTTCTCACAGTTCTGGAGGCTGGGAGGTCTAAGATCAAGGCACTGGAAACTGTCTGGTGTGAGCTACTTCTGCCCTTGAGTGCTGTGGTCTCATTAGAGAGGGAGGGGTGGGGGATGGGTGCCTTGTGAGTCTTCTTGTATAGGAGCCTTTGTCCCATTTAGGAAGGAGAAGCCCTCATGACGTAATCATCTCTGGAAGGCCCCACCTCTCTGCACTATTGCATCAGAGAGGAACTTCCACATACATTTGGAGGACTGTAAATACAGGCATTGCTTACAAGATGCCATTCTCTCTCTCTCTCTTCGTGTGTGTGTGTGTGTGTGTGTATAAATACATATATATGTGTGTGTGTATAAATACATATATGTGTGTGTGTATAAATACATATATATGTGTGTGTGTGTAAATACATATATGTGTGTGTGTGTATATATATATATATACACACACAGAGAGAGAGAGAGAGAGAGAGAGAGAGAGAGAGAGAGAATTTGTGTCTCTGTGTGTGTACACTTGTGGAAGTCAGGACAATACACAGGAATTAGTTCTTTCTTGCCATGTGGGGCCAGAGGTTGGATTCAGGTTGTCAGGCAGACACCTGTGCCCACTCCACCACCTTCCAGGTCTCTTGTGTCTATATTTTAATGAAAACAACTGTTTGTAAAGAGTGCAATCTATGTCTTTTCTACTATTTAGACTTGTCTTCCTCCAAGTTTATATCCCTCCCACCCCACCTTGCCCATTCTCCTATTTACGTCAGAGAAAAGAATGGGTCAGGCATAACATGTCATGTAGAGTGGGCTGTGGGTAGACTATGGATAGGCAGAACGTGTCTCTATGTAGAGTGGGCTGAGGGTAGACTATGGGAAGGTAGAATGTGTCTCTATGTAGAGTGGGCTGTGGGTAGACTATGGGAAGGTAGAACGTGCCTCTATGTAGTGGGCTGTGGGTAGACTATGGGTAGGTAGACTATGGG